ACTGTGTGTAGGGGTGTTAAATTGGCTCAGCTTGCCCGGAAAGCTGAGCGCAAGCTGGCTTGCTCAACAGAAGTGCTGCTCGGCTCATCAATTTTTAGCTGAAATTGCATATTTATCTAAATTTAGCTAGACATTTCGTGAGCCATTAGCAAGCTGGCTTGCACACCAGCATACGAGCTCACTAGCTACATCGCCAGCATCTTGCATGGTCAAACTGGTGAGCAGGGCTCGCCCTACTTAACACTTCTCTGTGTGATGAGCAAGTTTAGTTTGCTTATTTATTTGTTTGGTTCCCTAGTCATTTGTTTTCTCTTTAGTTGTAACCAACACAATAACTGCATGTTGTGCATGTAAAATTTATAGTGTGAATTGCAGAATGCTCTCATTACTTGTCATTGATTAATGGTTGCTTTTTGTTTATTATAGACGACAACTTGCAGGATATATATGGCTGAATTTCACTTTGATGAAATAATCAAGGTCATTGGTATCGATGACAAAAGATATGAGAAGGGTAAAAATATCTTTGACATTCCTTTTTGCTAATTATTGAACATAGAATTGCTTACTCCAAACTATTCTTTATTTGACTACAACTGTATAAGAAGGTACATTTCTCTAAATAATTAGTACTGAAACAGATTGACAGGGTCTTGAGCTAAAGGTTTTCTGAATATATTGTTTCAGTTTCGCGCATTGAAGCCCAATCTGAAGATGAGGACGTTTATCTGGAACTAGACGTTCATAGTCAACTATATCGTATGCTCCAGGGGGAGAAATTTAGGATGGTGGTATCGCATACTCTCAATGCAGATGGTTCAGCAGTTACTGGCCATATTTCTGAGGTTCACTTTCTTTTCATTCTTTGTACATGAGCTATGAAATTATGGCCTTTTAGATAATCTATTCAACATGGATTACTCCTATTTAGTAACCTGAATTCACAGAAGATCGTGGATATTATAGCCGTATTATGGACTGAGTTTGATTTTCTGAATGATGAATGGTGTCCTCATATTGCAGGGCAAACAGAAATCACTTGCGGACAAATTTGAGTATGTCATGCATGGGCTGCTATATAAGATGTCGGAAGATAAAGAAAAGCAAAATGATGGAAGCAACACTGTTAAAGTGTACGATATATATGCCCTTTCTCCAGAGAAATGTATTTGCTTTGTATAGTCCAATCCTTTCTACCAAACATACTATCCAGGATGATAGAGCCTCGCTTTGTGTTGAAATCTGATTGTACATTTTATGGTGTCTTATTGCTCTATAGTTTTCTCGACAATTTCAATATTTTTCTTTCTTTCTTAATTGATTATTTGTTTCTCTTCCTTTTATCTTTATGGTGACAGGGTGGTATATATTTCTTTTGGTGGGCTTCAGCTGATGCTGAAAGGTGATCCCCTGAAAATGCACAAGTTCAGACTTGATCAAAGGTTGTTTCTTCTCTTGAGGAAGATTTGAAGCTTATTTTTTCGGAATGCGAGCCTGGTTGATATGTATGGGAATTCTGGATGGTTTGTTTTATTTATCATTGTGGTCTCTTTTTAAAGATGGTGCAGAAATGAAAAACTCTGGATTGTGCTGAGGATTTGGAGCATTTAAATCGTAACTTTTTAGCTCATTCTAGTTTCTTGTGAGCCTTGCATAGTTGCATACAACTATGAAATGTGGCACATTGACTTGAAACGTTACCTTCTCTTGTTTTCGTTCTTTTCCTATAGGCCCGTAAAAGCTTAATTCTTTGTCCAGCCAAATGATTTTGTGTATATTTTTCTCCTGTATTATGTACTTGGGATTCTTTGAGAGAATGGAAGCAATGGAGAAGGGATGTAGGCAGATAAATTGAAAAACAGTTAATGATATGTTAGCCTTCGAAATGAAGTCTCTGAACCCAGCTAGCTATCAACGAAGTGTAAGCCATAAGCAAGGGGAATGAAGACACAGAAGACTCGATTAAAGATTATCCAAGCTGGCTATCGAATGTCAATAAAGAGTATGTGGGTAAATGAATAAAGTGTGATTCTTAACCAAATCAGTTGTAAGAAAGCCAACAAAGAGTCGCCTTCTGGTATTCCCTAATAATGAAAAAACTACTCCAATGCTTGTTGTGGGGGTGGGGGGTCTATAAATACCCCATCATTTAAAGAAGAATGTTGCATGCAATTTAAATCTCTCTCAAATAGCTATTTTTCTTTTTTGCTTTTGTTTGAGTATCAAAATTAGAGTCTATGAAATGAAAGCTATAGCTAGGTAAGTGAGATTTGTTGATATGATGTTTATTGTCTACAAATTGGCGTCGTCTGTGAAAATACTAGAACAAAAATAAATAGCCAAATCTTGTTACATTTGAAAAAGTCCAAATTCTCAGAAGATTTGAAATCATGAGTCAAATTGAAGAGAAATCGGAGGAGATGAAGGTATTAGAAGTAGAAGTCGAAGAAAGCAGTAGTTGTCCAGTAGTAGCAATATCAATCCTAAGAGACATAGAGCGAAAACTTCTATAGAAGCGTAGGGCTAGTATTTCTCCTCACAGCTTCGCAACTTGCGGAAAAAAATGTTGACTACTAAAACTATCTAGGAGATGGTTGAAAGCGTTGACAGTTGAGAACGCTTCTCTGCGAGTGAAAATGGAAAACATAAAGGTCAGTGCATTGAAAAATGTGAAGAGAACGAAACTAATCCTTTCAATAGTACTTTTCGATATAACACCAACGGGTAAACATCAAAAATCTGTGGCAGTACGTAGGGGTGTCAATGAGCCGGCTTGGGCCTTATTGAGTCGAGCTTGATTGGCTCGATTTTTTTCTTCTCATTCAGGCAAGCTGGCTGTTGCCTTTAACAAAGGCAGCTCTTCTTTTGTGATATACTTTTTTTTCGAGCTGGCCCGCGAGCCGCATGGGTTGGCTTGGGCTCGGTTCGAGCCTAGGTTTGGTGAAACCAAGCCTTAAGTCGGGTCGACTAGGGCTTTTTATAGACTGGGCCATGGGCGTCTGAGCGTGCGAGCTTATTTGCCATCATTAGCAGTATGTCGAAAAGGCTGTCCAAATGGCATCGGAAGAATAGATGCTTAAGAGAGATTTTCGGAAGAGGTCACTTGTCAAGATTGGAGGAGTAGTTGCTATGATGGCCGATGGGTTGAAAGTCTTTTTAATACCTCGTATAATATTCCTCAAGATGAGGAATATGAGTATAGACCTACTATGTTATACGAATTAGATGATGATGATGAATACCTCCCATCCTTTAGGGCGATCAAGGAGAGGCCAATCTCGGATAAATTCATCAATTCGGTTATGTACAAATACAGCGGCAAATGAGATCCTAAGAACCATTTGTGTGAGTACATGACACAAATGTGATTGACAAAAGCAAGTCCTATACTTAAATGCCAAGGTTTGTATCTTACTTTAGATGGATTGGCTAAGCGGTGGTATAGCAAGTTGCCACTAGGTTCAATTCGGAGTTGGCATTTGTCGGAAGCCGGATGGGGTAGGCCTTGGCTGTGAGGCTTAATGACATGTGACAAAATGAGAGTCCCTTAAGAGATACTTTACACATTTCAGCTAGAATTGATCGCTTGTGAAACAATTTCAGTGGAAGGCTCGGGATGCCTTATAGAATGAATTACTTATGAAGATTCCCTTCTAGCGGGATGTCCGTAACAAAAATTTAGCCTCATACCAACAACTCATAAGTTTGATGCAAAACTAGATCTAGACAAAAGATACAATTGAGAATTGAAAGAAGGTGGAACATGGGCAAGTTCTCAAGGAAAAGGCCTCGATGTACGTGCCTAGACTATCGAAGCATCAATATCCGTGCTTTGGTGATCATAAAAACAAAGTACATGTGATCTCTTCGGCTCTCTCAAGTAGCAGGCGAAGCACCTCTATCCTCTTATAATTGTAAAGTAAAATTTTGCAAAATTCATTGTATCGAGGACCAAGATATAGATGAATGTTGTGAGGTCATAAGATGGCGAAAATGCAAGATCAGCAGGGCAAGATACATGAAGGATCTAACAGTCATAAGCCCCCGTACCTAAGCACTAGAGGGCGAGGTTGTGAAGGTAGATCAATGTATATAGATTCCTCGTGAGCACCAACATGCAACCCACTCGACCTTTAATAAGAGATATATATACAATCATCAGAGATCCTTATGTTGATGAAGAAATAGTGAACGCGCAAAAAATTTATGTTCGCTGTGCTAAGAAGGCTACATTGGAAAACTTTTGGATTATAGGCAACCCTTAACGTGTATCTCTTTTGATTATTTTCAATAACGATGATGAGCAAGGAGTCATATATCTCCATTGTGATGCATTGGTAGTGTGAGCTATAATAGCTCGCAATGATCTTAGCCGAATGTTGGTGGATAATGGCAGATCTTTAAATATATAATTTAGAAGTACCTTTAACCAAATGCGGGTGGATCATCCATGGGTACCAATGGCTGAACTCCTTTTTGACTTCACTGGAGACGCTCTGATCCATAGAGGACGAATTACACTAGCCATTGAGATAGGCTAGGAGCCAATTTTATTCTATGGATACATGGACTTCCTAATCGTGGATAGTAGGTTTGCATACAACTAGATCCTTGGAATGCCTACCTTTAAATATCTGAAATTTGTGACATCTATCCACCACCTATGCTTAAAATTTGAAACTCCGAAAGGGGTAGCTAGAGCATACCTCTTTTGGAGCCTTTTTGTCAATGACAGTTGAGGGTGAGTGATTAACAAGAAAATAGGCCGTAGAAATAGCTTCAGCCTAAAATGACTTAGGGAAACTAGTATTGGAAAGCATACAACGTACTCTTTCCATCAAAGTCCTATTCGCTTGTTCGGCCATCGTTGTGCTGCGGAGTCTTACGAACTATCAAGTGCCTCAAGATTCCTTTTGACTTGTAGAAAACATTAAATTCATTGAAATGAAAAAAACTTCAAACCATTATTAGTGTGGAGATGTTTTACGTGCTTCCCTGGGAGTTTTCAATCATGATCTTCCACGTAGTAAACATATCACTTTTTGCTTTAAGAAAAACATCCAAACTTTTCTGGAAAAATCATTAATAATTGTTAGCATATAGCAAGCACCTCCTTTAGAAGATTCCTCAGGTGATTTGTAGAGATTAGAACGTATGTAATCAAGTGATCCCTTCGAGTTGTGAATGCCTTTGGTGAATCTAACTCTCTTCTGCTTCCCAAAAACGTGTTGCTCACATAACTTTAATTTATTAGTACCCTGTTCATGAAGAAGTCCTCTCTTGCTCGATTAAGTCATCTCATTCTCGCTCATATGCCTAAGCACACATGCCAAAGTCTAGTAACATCATCATCATTGACAAAGAACAGCGATAGCTACATCACCTATGACTATAGAACCTTATAAGACATATAATTGGGTGGATCTCTTCTACCTTTCATCACACCAGTGTACCTGCACCCATTTGAATCACGAGTACTCAAAGAGATGAGTTTTCTCTTTAGATTCGAAACATGTCTCGCATCACAAAGTATCCTGATGCCCAAGCTATTTTACAAGGTGCATTATTTTCTAATATCACAATACCTCTAGAAACTATTTCATATGTTGAAAATCAATCCCGACTAGGACTCATATGAAATTTGTAAGTTGAATCAAGAATCCAATTCTCGCAAGATTTGAAATCGCCATCAGACATAGCTAGAAGTTCTCTTTCACTTTGGCCATCTTCTGCAACACTAGCTTCACTGAATTCTTTTTGGTTGTTTTCCCTTTGGATTAGCAGCAACTCTTTTATCCACATTCTGTAGCTTGTAGTAGTTAGATTTGATGTTACCCTTTTTCTTACAGCAATTACAAATTTTCCCTCTATTTTTAGATTTCGATCTACCCTTCATATCATCACTAGAGTACCATTCATGTGTTCTCCCACGAACAACGAGGCCCTTTGCTTAAGCCTCTGATCCAACCACAAGCTGATTAATCTTCTCTTTACAAAATATAGCATCATATGCTTCATCCATGGTAAGAGTGTTACGAGCATACAAAATAGTATCTTTGATAGTCATTTATGAAGAGGATAGTGAACACAATAAAATCAACCCTAAATTTTTTCATCGTACTTAACCTCTATGTCTCCATATCAAAGACAACTTCTTGAAAGACGGTTAAATGATATATATATATCGATGTATCTTCCACCATGCAATGAGAATACAAGCACTGTTTCAGATGTAACTTATTGATTCGGCTTTTCATCATGCATAACCACTCCAATTTTAACCATAATGTAGTGGCGCTTTTCTCCTTCAAAACGTCTTGTAGTATTTTATTCGATAGATGCAAATAAAGTTAAGATAGGCTTTTCGATAGGAATGGCAGTGGGTTGGGTATGGTTCAGGATGGGGCAGGGTGACGACTTGCCTCGTTTGGCGCCCCATTTTTTTTTTTTTTAAATTTCAAAAATAGATCATCATCACTTTTGCATTCAATCCCTTTGTAACTATAATGGGTTAAATACTGCTACTAATTACAGAGAAATGCATCAATTTCAAAAATAAAATTATTTTTAATTTTTTTCTTCACGAGGCGGGATTTGCGCCTTGCACCCCGAGATGGGACAGCGAGTTATGCCTCACCAACCTTCGGGATGGGTTTTTTCGGCCCAATTTGGGGATGGGACGAGTTTTTTTGCCATTACTATTTTTCAATCCTTTCATTGTTTTTCCTCCCACATCCAAGTTGAATGTATTTTATCAAACCTTAATAGGGCATCATCTAAGTCCATCTGTGGGAGCACAACCCACATCTTCACTCTCCATAACAAAAATATGGTTTTGCGATCCGAAAGCGGAATATTGTATTTCATAGTTGCCATTGTTGAAAGAAATCAAACACCGCTCTAATACCAGTTTGCTACGAAAAAGTGAGGATATGCAATATAAAATTAAGCCACTATTTGATTCCCATTATTTTCAAAATGCATTTTTCTCTTTCTTATTTTTAATCACACATTCTTTAATAAAATAATATTACACGCAAATTCAAAATTTTTTCTTATTTTTTAATTACATATTCTCTACCAAATCGTTATTATTAAATACATTTTTGACAAAGAATGGGAATCAAACCGGCCTTAAGAACAAAAATTACCAGATTTATTTGGGAATCCGAAACCCAAAAAACCACTAGCAGAGGAAGAAAATTTCACTATATCAAAGATGATTACAAGACGTGCGGTTATTCTGAATGATATGATATTATGAAATCCTAATATATATCAGTGGTGGGCCACGATAGGATCTCTGCTACTCCCACAAACTCACATTTTTCTTATAGTTTTATTTTTGCCATATATATTGCACCGTGAGCTTTTTGGGTCAGGTTAAATAGAATTCAGGTCAACATACTCTAACGTTGCTGCACATAATGGGGTCTATGAATTGGAGTTGAATATCTTTCCAATTCAAGTTTCCATTGTTAATTTTAATTGCTACACTAAGTCTTGCTACCAAAATCTTGATAGGGACGATGCCACCAAGCTCTAGGGCTTAAGATTAACTAGAAGGCTTAAATACTTCATTGCAGTTTTGCATTTATTAATTTTAAAAATATGATTGGTAAGTAAGTCATTTTACATTATTCCAGCGGATTTTTTTAACAAAGTCTTTATCAGAGACAATATATACTAGTTAATAGTAGGTGATATTTGGCATTGCATATACACATTTAACTTTGAATTTGTGTTTATAGTTATGTCTAAAACATTGAAAGGGATATTCGGCATTGCATATCCTTGGATACATGGTTTTGTTTAGATTTGAAGCCATAGAATCTAAGGTAGCTTCTTTGTTTTTTTGGTGTAGGGAAAGGACATTATCAAAATTGTACGATTCTAAAAGGGCAAAACGATATATAGGATCCAAATTTGATAGGGTTGCACTATGATTGCCATGTGATGGTATGAAATCGTACAAAATCATATATAATCTATTAGGATCACTATATGATTACAATAGGATTGCAACAAGAAATAAGACTAGTGCAAGATCTGAAAATGATGGTTTTATGTGTTTTAATGGTATCTCTGATGATGACTGGATAGCAAAAATGATGATCAAGCTCTTCCACGACTAGGCAAATGGTGGAGTGTTCTTCAAATATCTACATGATGAGAAGCTTGGAAAGACCTATATAGAACCTTTTTTAGCATCATGTATGAATTGTTACTTTCAATTGATATAAAGCATTAAAACTTGTGTAGCATACTACATTTGTGTATTAGTATGTTACCTAATGTAGTTGGATTGGGATATAAGAATGAATATCGATTCAAAACAATTAAGTGGAAACAACTTGAATTGAGAAAATCGAAAACCAATGGATCGGGTGCATACCTTTGACTATTGATGTTTCAAAAGCTCTCGTTTGCTGCAGGTTTTGACACTTCTGAGCTCTTTCAACACTTGAAAATGATGGTGTATGACATGGTTTTCACCATGCTTGAACTTATCGACCAAGCCCTTTTATATAGCCAAATTCTCATCATGCCTTGGCATCAATTATCAATTTCGATTATCCAATGGGTAAGTTTCTAAAATTATAATTCCATTAATGTTGAAACTGAAGATAACGTTGGACCACATTGATTGAGGAAAATTAATCATTTCATTCTTCTCCCAGTTGGTTTGCACGTTTAACCTATTGTGTGTTATTTAATCCCATCGATTATCCTTCTTAAGAAATAAACACATGAATCAACGCGATAAGTCCTCTAATAACGAGCATTACCTTTCATGTATTACAATGTATTTAGTTCCTAAAAAAATGTTCTTTATATTGTTACAATAGTTAATAAAAGAATCCCACGTCTTATTCTTAGTCCTATATAAACTTATTTTCTCAAATAAATTAAGGTACACATGCACATGAGAAAACACAAAATAAATAAAAGGTTCATATAAAAATTATATATATCATTATATAGTGGAACCAAGTCCCAATTTCTCTACATGATCCTCGAATCTCAATGGTAGCATGACTTTAGTCAAATGATCAACGATCATTAGTGCTTGCATGCTTAATGATCTCTTTCTTTTCTTTAACATGTTCTCTTATGACTAAATATTTAATGTCGATGTATTTATTTTGACTACGACTTTTGTTGTTCTTAGCCTTAAAGGCTTCAATTGAATTATCGTAGTAAATTCTCAATGGCCTAGAAAAAGAATCCATACCAGATTGATTCCTCCATAATTTGTATAGATTACTCACAATGGCATGGGTCCCATCCAATTAAAAAATAGCACAAATAATACCACACCCACTTACCTGTACAAAGTCTATACAAATGAATCTGGTAGTGTAGCATCTCTCCTCTAACAATTAAGCTACTTGTACATTCATAGCTGACATTTTGGATGACATTCCCCTACTTGTAGAAACTTTGACTATTGATTGGAAAGGATATTGTTAAAATCAATGTACAAAAAGCTATCAACTCACACAATGTCATCCATGACGTCAAATTTGATGTACACCAAGCAAAATTGTAACTCTAATCCCTAGTATGAAACTTTTGATCCATACACCATATAAAGTAGCCTCAAAACATGAGACAAACTTGGCTTCCATGATAGAAGTAGTATTCAATCTTTGCTTAGCACTCTTCCATAATATACCTCCATCCATCATCATAAAAACATACCTTGATGTTGATTTGCTTTAATCAACGCAGTCAGCAAAGTCTGAATTTGAGTATTCAATTACTATCAGATTATTTGTCCGTTTATACATAAGCATGTATTTTTTGGTGTATTAAAGGTACTTCATTACTTTATTTGCTACTTTGATGGTCCATGCCTCTGATATCGTCCTAACATTTCTATAGCAAATGCAATGCTAGGCTTTATGTAGACATAAGCATACATTATGCTTCCAATAGTAGAAGTATATAGAATGTCATTCATTTGTTTCCTTTCTAGATCATTTTTAGGCATTGTTTCAAATAAAACCTAACACCCTTCACAATGGGAGCTACACTTGATGAACAATCATTCATCTGAAATCTCTTTAAAATTTTATTGATATAAGTTCTTAAGATAGGCTTGAAATCCCTCGTAATCTGTATCTATAATCATAATACTAATGACACAATGTCTCACCCATCTCTTTTATATCCAAATGTTTAGAGAGGAATTATTTCATTGCATACCGCAAACCATTATCATTAGTTGCAAGCAATCATCCACGTATAACATAAGAAACAAATCTTATTCCCGCTCAGGGTTGGCAATGGGACAAGTTCTGCGCTGGGCGGGTTCCTCGCCCTTGCTGTCGCCCTGTTACCTGTTTAAGGCAAGGCAAAAGTGTGACAGGACTGGATGGGCCCCGCTTACATATTTCTTTTGTTCATAGTTTTCGATAATATATTTTATTGCCCCCATTCATTCAAGTGAGACAATAATATAGTTGTTAAAATTTTTAATTAATAAATTAATTTTTAAAAGTTAAATTATTTGAATATATTTGGTAAGTTAGGTTTTTATTGTTTATCAAAATTTTTAGATAATCTTAGTTGTCATTTTTTATTAGAATTAATGAAATTTCATGAAACTTTTTCATTTAAAGTATTGAATTCTTACAAAAAAATCAAACGCGATGGGGGGCTATTACCCTATCCGCCTCGAGGTGAAATTTCCTGCCCCATATCCAGCCCGATTACCTCCTTTAAACGTGTAATCCCCACCCCAAACTGTGGGTGTCGAGTTTAACAAGTATTTTTGTCATCCCTACTCCCACTGACCTTCTAGTATATACATTGATCCATGAGAGTTTCAACAAATTCAAATGAAGAAATTGCTCCTGAAATTTAAAATACTATTGATGGGGCGTTTGTTTTAGACCTTATATAGACTTTTTAAGCTTATAGACTAAGTGTTGACCATCATTAAAGGGGAATTCTTTAGGTTGTTCCATAAAAACCTCATCCTCTAAATCTCTATTAAGAAATGTCGTTTTCAAACCCTTTTGTCCCAACTCATGCCAAAATAATACGCAAGAAATCTTTCTTAGATACTGGAGAGAAGCTCTCTATATTATTGATTCCCTCATTTTGAGTGAATTCTATATGAACAAGTTTCACTTTATATCTCTCAATGTTGTCTAACGAGTCCTTCTTTGTTTTGGAAACCTATTTACAGTTAATAGCTTTTGTGTCACTAGGCAACTCAACAAGATCTCAAACTCCATTGCTCTTAATAGAACTCATTCTTTCTTCATGGCATTGTAACATAATTATGACGTTTTGCCACTCATGGCCTATAAAAATGATTCGGGATCATTTTCGGCTCCAATACTGAAGTTAGGTTCTTGTAGGTACATTTCATAATCATTAGGAATTGCTGACCTTTTTTTTTCTAGTAGATCTTCTTAATGTTATACCTTCATCTTCCTAAGAAGCTTATGATTTAATTGTTTGTTTAGGAGGTTCTGGTAATTCTTGAACTAACCGATCTACTTGAATGTTGTCAGTTTACATTTCATAATCATTAGGAATTGCTGACCTTTTTTTTTTCTAGTAGATCTTCTTAATGTTATACCTTCATCTTCCTAAGAAGCTTATGATTTAATTGTTTGTTTAGGAGGTTCTGGTAATTCTTGAACTAACCGATCTACTTGAATGTTGTCAGTTGTGAAATTTCAATGATTGGTTGTTCAACACCATTTTTACATGAGGGAGCTCTAAACTATGACCAATCTGTCATTTAAGGCGGAAGGTTGAGATTTTGAATGATCGTGCTCAATAATTTTGTTCCTGGTTTGATCGCTCCAATTTATCTAGTCATTCTAAAGAAACTGAACATTTCTTGATTTCCTAGTGCTAAGAGATGGACACTAAATTATGTACCATTTATACGTTTCGATATAGCTAATGAAATACCCACTAATGTTCCTTGGGTCTAACTTCTTCTCATATGGATTATAAATCCTCACTTCGAATGGCCATCCACAAAAGTGTATGTCGCAAACTTGATTTCCAAACTTTTGATAATTGAGATGGCGTCTTTAGGACAGCCTTGGTGGGAACTCGATTTAGTATATACAGTGTCGTTTAAAATGCTTTAGTCCACAAGGATTTAGGAAGATTAGACCTACTAAGCATACTTTGTACCACGTTCAAAATGCTCGACTTTTTTTTTTCTACTGTACCATTTTGGTTTTGTGAACCAAGAATGGTGCACTGGGTAATTATCCCATACTCTTGAAGAAACTTAGCAAATGAACCAAGTTCTTGTCAATCTTCTGTGTATTTACCGTAATATTCACCACCTTTATCTGATCTCACGATCTTAACTTATTTCCTACATTGTTTCTCCACTTTAGTATTAATTGTTTTAAAGAAATGCAATACTTCATTCTTGTTACGAACCAAGTACATATATCATGAGTAATCATCAATAAAGGTCATGGAATAATTTATATATATATATATATCAGTATGTATGATTTTTAATATATTCGAACTCTTGTTGGCACCTTTCTTGGACTTGGCTTGCTTTCCTTTAATGCAGTCCACACATGTTTCAAAATCAATGAAATTTAATCTTTCAATTCTTTCTATGGAGATGTCTTTGGAGGATTCGTTAATATTGCACCGTTTAGTGCCAATGTAAACATGCATTGAATTACAAATGATATTGTAAATTAATACGATAAAGATCATTAGACAAAATACCATTATCTACACAATCATAATTATAAAACAAGTTGAATGACATGTTTGAAAAATTAAAGGAATATACCAGGAGTACAAATCCGGAAATAGAAAAATTTTGGGAAAAACTTGAAATATAAAAGGTCCTATTTAATTTCAAAACAAATATATTATTTAAAAGTTAAAACGCATGTTCTCATAACATCCATATGTGAGCCTATCCCCTTTTTTGAAAAGATATTTTGCTTGCTTTCCACTGACTTCCTCAGGTTTTTCATGCCATATAAAGAGTTTGCAATGTAGATTGTAGATCCAGAATCAATCCATCAGGTGTTACAACTTACATTAACCATATTAGATTTATAACAAACAAACGAGATTGTATTACTTTATTCTCAAGTTATTTCTTGAATTTGGTGTAATCTTTTATCACATGTCCCTTCTTTTTATAAAAATAACACTTAACCTCTTTCTTGATATCAACTAAGGATGGTATTTTACCTTTCCTCTTCTGATTGGCTTGAGCATTCATATTCTCACAGGTTGAAGTCAACATTACACTTTCACCATGTACCATCACTAACCTCTCTTTCTTTTGAATGCACATAATTATTAATTCATTGATTAAAATGACCGCACTGTTGTAGGAGAGCGTTTCAAATGTAGTGCATAATGAAGGACTCAGACATCTCAACCTTGAGTTTCTTAAATTGAGCCGTAATTTCTATCATTTGAATGATGTGCTCGCACATACCTTTCAAACTAGTGAGATTGAAGAATGAGAACTTCATTATAAGTGCTTGCTAATGCCTTATTGGAAGTGAAGAATTGATCATCAATGTCCTTTATCAAGTTGTGGACCTTGTCATACTAATTGACGGAATCACGTATACCAGCAAAATTTTTAGCTTTTATGAACGTCAATCTGAGGCAATTAAATCGCTCCAATTTTTCATAATGTGTGATGTTTGCTGTAGTGTTGGTGTCGATGATTTCAGTTGGTTTATTTTTTCTAATCGCATGGTCAATGTTGATACATCTTAAACGGAGAAGAATTCTCTCTTTTCATAATAGTTGTCACCATTTATTTGAGCATATTGCAATGAATATTAGATAAATTAGCAGGTTGTGAAGTTGCATAATATCAAAAAATGCTTATGTTAAAACTGGGCCTTAATTGAATAGATTGCATGTTTTACCAATGTAAATCATACTAAAATTGAATATAATGACATAAAATTACGTGTGGGGTAAAATTTTAATTCAAGTATATTCAATTATTCCTTATGATATAATTATCAAATTATACACTTAATTCATATTTGAGTACATTGTGAAAATAATTTAATATTTTATCCTAAAGCGAATTTTATAATAAAATTGTCAAATTATACACAAATTCATAAGTCCCGTGGGTATATTACGGAATAATTTGATATTTTATTCTAATTAATTATATAAATATAACAAATTTATTATACTAAGTATAATTAATTATAATTTAATGTGTTTGCTTTTCATGTGAGCCTAAACTTAGTATGTAATTTTACTTAATTAAAGATGTTGTGGCTAATCCCCATTTGAGTAAAACTATATAAGTCACTAGACATTATCTCTTTTAGACAAACGATTAATGCTATATGAGAATAGTTTTAATCGCAAAACTTTAACTAATATGTTATGATTATGCACAAAAATATTTTCAGAAGCATTATAAATTGCATCAAATAATTTTAAGACACAGTTCACTCATGCAAACTAAATTTGAGCCTAATTAGTAACTCTCCACAATTTATTTCATCATAAAATTCTGTATATTACTCTAAACATAAATAATTAACATATGTAAAAAATTAAATACATAGGTATAAAAATAAAATAAAGTGAAAATTACAGCCACACATGTATTTTAACTTCTCAATTTAGATATAAGTTTCGAAATTTTTTTATTCAAAATTCAGGTAATAATTCAATTTTTAAATATTTATAATAATATTATAAAATTTAATTAATCTACATTTTCACCCACCCAATTTAACTCAAACCCTAATCTACAAACTCCTCTCTCTCTACCCCCCACATTCTTTACTTGCTCACCCCATTCTCTTTATTCCAGGAACCGATGCCGGGCTTAAAAGATCCTTTCCTAGCGCCACGCTTGCTGATCTACTGTCCTTTGTGGAGTACTGATATTCAGGAGAGGTGTTGTTGACCACTAATGCCACAAATCGGTGAATACTAAGAGAGGTGTCGTCGACCAGCAATGCCACCTCGCTGCATGCA